CTACAACCCCAAAGTGTGTCTTATTTGAATGAAATTATATTTATAAAATTCCTATTTTTCAAATCTTCCTTTCTCATCCCTGCAACTTCCAGAAATCTCCCAATGCAAACTCCATGTGCCTCTTAACTCTGGATCTCACGTTACGCCAGTAGTCACACCACGCAGACCTGAAGAAGTGCAGTACTCTGATGCAAACATAAAAACTGACGGAAGAGCTTCAACTCTGTAAGTATGCTGAAGAAATTCAAAACGATTTAAGAACAATGACGAAGCCACACGTTGGCAAGTGCCAAAGAAGAGAACCGTGAAGGATGTCTATATTAGGTGTGGAAAATATGCCGGCATGCTTCAGCTTCTGCTGCTGGAGCCGGAACCCTCTTTTCAAAGCTACCTGGTATTTCAAGGTGACAGAAATTCCACAAACACGCCCCATGGCAAATAAATGGGGTCAGGGCACGGCTAGCAAGTGTGGCTTTGGTGCTGTCACCGAACTTAGCAAAACAAACACTGGTTTTGCAATCGTCATTTCTCAGTATGAGAGCAGTTGTGTGTGTGTTGGGGAGGAGAGTTAAGATGAAAAACAAACCCAAAAAAACCTCTAGTAAAAACATATAGAAAAGACAGTAAGTACTTCTGGGATCCTGCTAGAGGATGGATCTTCTGGACAAACCTAAAGCTCACTTTTGATTCAGGACTCAGCTGGCTGCACACCTGGCACTAACTGTAACAAGTACCTAGTGTTCTATCTCTGACTAACACAATCAATATTATTCTTCAAACCTACAAGCTTTTCCCAGAGATCTAAGAATTGTTGGCTTAATCCTCACACTGCCAGTTCAGGTGAGTCACCAGGCAATTCACCTGTGTGCAGCAGTGTCCTTGTTTCTGGGTACCGTTCCAGATAATCATCTTCAGAGGTCAGAAACGACTCAAGCTCAAAACCGCAAAGCCCATCCACATACAACCAAGCCCAAACCAGGAGCCATTACTACTTAAGTTATTTCAAATGTACTTGCGTTCTTGGAGGCCTGAGGCACAGCTCAAAGTTACATTCCCTGGAGAGAAGAAATCCTGTATTTCCAATTAGGATAGATCTACATTCTCGGACAATCAAGTGAACAAAGAAAAAGCTTGTTCTCAGCCTATGAGATCAAGAAGCCCAGGTTGCACCCCGACTGTGAGAACATTCCATCTCTACATGTGGGACCTGTTGGCAGAGGTACCTCTGGTAGATAGTCACTCTTACTTTGCCTTAATCCTACTAGAGAAGTCTTTGGTGGCCTAAATATTTATTATTCTATTCAGTCCCAATGAAGGGCCGGGGATATAGCTCAGTGGCATACGCGCCTGCCTGGCAAGTACAAGGTCCTGAGTTCGATTCCCGGTACCAAAAAAAAAAAAACAAAGAAAACAAAACCAATGAAATGTCTCTCTTATATAGTCCTGCCCACCCTTTCTTCTTACATGATCACAACACTACATTTACACCTGATCCAACACTGTAAATGGAAATCACCTGTCACTTGTGTGGCTGAATACTGTCCTACCCAGCACTGTCCAATGAAACCAAAAGATACATGTAAACAAATACAATCAGATAAACTATACTAAAGAATGAAAGCCTAAAGATCTTATGTAACACCATAAATTACTGCAAATTGCAGCACATCAAAGGTCTTTGGCATACTGAATGCTTTTTATAGTCAACTGATAAGGAAGTTTCGTCAACTCAGCAGGCAGGCAGGTGTTTGCAACCAAGGTAAAGAGATTTTTAGAAAATGAAGCAATGAACAGTGGCTAACCAAACATGCACTCACACATCCCCTCCTAAGGGGAACGTCCAGCTGTGTGCCAAACTGAGAGCCAACCCCGTGTCAGAGGACCTCTTGTCCTATTTTTCCTGGCATCAAAGCCTTACTCAAAGCAGAGTTTTGTGTTAAAGTCATACATGCAAGATTAGGTGGGGCTGTCCCATTAATTTGATATATGACACGTTAAGTAAGAATGATGCAAAACAACGTGTTAACAGCAGAGATCTTCTGAGATGAGCCCTCAGCTCTGGAGCTCCTCTGTAAGGATGGATCAGGCCATGAGTCTGACAGAGAAACAGAAATGCTAATTACTTATAAGAAACATCCTGATGTAATCGTTCCTAAAGCCTCCCCTTTTTAGGGTCTTAACTGCAATTTGGACATTTTATGAATAGATAGGCATCTAAAAATTAACAGCTGCTTTTTGGTACTATTATATCTACCTTTCTACAAATTAGACCAAGTTGCATCTTTTTGGTGGGTTGAGAACCCACACAGAAGAACAAAAAAGAACTTCAGGATGGAGACTACCTCTAGGGAGGGAAGAGGCAAAGAAGAACAGGACAGCAGCAGGTGCTGAGCTGGATCTGCCTAAAACAACAGAAGCTGAAGCAAGCATGTTAAATGCTACCGTTTATTTAGTCTGGGTTGGTGGTACATAGAGATCTATTACCTTTACTTTTTTTGGTGGTGTTGTTACTTTTCTGCATGCTTGAAGTACTTTATAATAAAATAAAGGTAAATTTTAAGTGAAAAGGGGATAAAAACAGCACAAAGAAAATTCAGGTTGAGACTTAAGCAATGCTAAGTGACAAAGTCCAGTCATGCTACTTTGATTACGTGCAACTGCCAGGCAACACAATAAATACACACAAGCCACTGGGAACAGTGGAATCTAAGATAACACACACCAAAGCTAGAGCCCATTTTACAGTTTTACATTATATTATGAAATAGTTCCTTGACATCTATCTCCCTACAAGAAGGCACATCAAAATATACTTCGTCAAATAAAAACACAGGCATATATTTGAAGCTGCCCTGAAGGACGTCCACTATTATTTAATTACATGTGTATTTGCTCATCTACGAAAGCCAAACTACAGAAGGCATAAACATGGCAGCCTGATTTTTAGTGCTGTACAGCTAAGTTGGACCAGAGTTTAACGGACACAGAAGTCCACATTTCTGCTGAGTGTCCCAAAGCTAACAGAAGGACTTAGGCCTGTGCTAACAAACACAGCTGCTGCCACGGAAAGAAAACCCAAAAAATACACAGCTTTCTTTTCTCAGATCCTCACCAAACGGTCCATACCAACAGCTCCATGAATCAAATGACAGTCATTTAGAGTCAATATGACCTCTGTGGACCTTATCACCAGTTTTTTTAAGTATCTGTTTAAAAAAAAATTAATTAAAAAAATATATATATATACTTGAGATTTTTAGATTAGGGTGTAAGGCTGCCAATACACTAACTGTGTGCAAAGGTGTTACCAGCTTACCACATCCCCAAAACACACAAATATTATAGAAATTGCAAAGGGACCAGTAGCACAGGGACCAGTCTGGGTCATGGAAGTCTTGCTGGATGGACATATTTCTTTAAAACTTGAATGCAGCAAGACTCATCAAAGTCTGCATTTCTGTATCAGAAGACCTGTCCACATTGAGCCCCTATACCTACCTAATTAGAGCAAAGTAGAAGCTCCTCAATTTACGGAAGGCCTGTTCACCACAACCACCACTACCCTCTTCACCAATACACACGAGTATTACAAATTCACACCCCTTGCCCGGCCGCTGCAGGCAATGCCATTTGTGGCATTATACTAAGGGCACCCACACCTTGCAGGCACTAAAAATAAATACATTCCCCTTAGAAGCAAATTCAGGGTGGAACAAGACAGGAAGAAAGGGCTTTGTTTCTAGAATTCCGAATGTCCACATAAGTTAGAAGAGAAGAAGTAGACCATGAACCAGAAGTCATCTCCCACCACTAACACACACACACACACACACACACACACACACTTCCAAGCCCAACATACACAGTTCCTTTGCCTACACTGGTGAGATCCCATAATACATGAGATTCCTGACTCGAGCCGGGCGGGGTGGCACACGCATGTAATCCCAGCACTCGAGAGACTGAGGCAGAGGGATCACTGCAAGTTCAAGACCAGCCTGGGCTACAAAGTGAGCTCAAGACCAGCCTGAACTGCATAGTGAGACCCTGTCTCAAAAAGGCCAAAAAAAAAAAAAAGAGAGAGAGAGAGAGAGAGATTCCTGACTCAAAACAATGCTCACTGTAGTTTAAGAGGAAACTGCCTCTGCTCCAATATTGCCTAAGGACTCCTGGAGGTATACTGGCCTATTTTGATGCAATGTTCCCACTACCCAAGCCAGCCATGGGAATTCCTTTGCTAATGTGTTGGATATCTACAGATGCTATGCCCAACTTCTGTCTGTGACATACTGTAAGCCAGGAGGAAAATAAATTATGACTAAAAAAGTGTTTGATGCAGAAGGGAAAAATTTATCAACACAGGGCTGGGGATTTAGCTCAGCGGCACAGCGCCTGCCTGGCAAGCACAAGGTCATGAGTTTGATTCCTGGTACCAGAAGAAAAACAAACAAACAAAAAAAACCACAAAAACTTACCAACACAAAAATAAATGTCAGATACACACACACAAAAGATAGAGATGGAATATTCATCAGTTAATATCAAGAAAACATGAATATGTTTATAGCAAATGAAATATCCACAAAAGGATGCTAATAAGCTCCCTTTTATGTATAATTTCCATACCTATGTAAACACGCAATATATACATATACATATATACAAATGAATATACTTGCATATATAGCCAAAGTATAATAAAGATTGAGATATATCATTACTATATATATACTATATGAGTCAAAGGAGACACTGAGTAGGAAGTACCAGGGTCCACAGCACAACAGTCTCAAGGAACTCAATATTATCAAAACCTAACTTGCCTGATAAGTGTCAAAGTTCATGTTCTTATTAGAGTTTTGATAAGCATTTCACAACCTGAAGGGAAGTCTTTCTCCTTAGGATTGTAGTACGATTGGGAGGGAAAAAAACTAAGGCCACATCCGTACACAATTTCCACCACCTGATCTTTTCCAGTTAGAAAAGAAGGAAACACTCACTGCCGAGAGCTGGCTCCACGTGGATCTCAGAGGCTTATGGTGAATCACAATTTTTTCCTCTGACTTCTGTTCTTTGAACTCCGACTCTTCATCAGAGTCAATGTCAAGAGCCTTTTCTTTGTAGTTTTGATATAGGACTGCATTTTCTGCAAGAAAATTTTAAGAAGCCTGATATATCACTAATTGCCCACAATCACTATACTACTTCTGAACAAACTTCCACATTTACACATTCTGTGGTCTCAGGTATAATCAACCACACAAAAAGAGACTTTGTCATTCAAGAATAACACATGACATTTCAACTGAAGCAAAGTTTCTATGTCTATGTCCACTACTCACAAAGAATAGTTGGACATGTTAAATCACGGTTATCGGGGTTACACTGAGTTCATACGCTGCATGTCCGTCAAGGTCCGTCACCATTCATTTATCTATGTAGCAAACATTCATTGTACATCTACAACGTGCCAGGGTCTAATTAAAAGAACAAAAAACAAAGACATCTTTCATTTCTTCATGTGCTAACAATTACTGAGACAGTCAAATTCAATCATGCAAATGCATGACTGAATAAATATTCAGTCAACTGACATCTAGAAAATGCCTACTAGATGCCAGCAGCTGCTAGGCACTGGGACTGTAAGGATGGATAAAAAAGATGTTTCAAAACCCAATCTCTTCATGGAGCTGACCTTGCAGTTTGAGAGAAGGTCAATAAATAAACTAGCAACTTTTATAGTACTTCAGGTGGGGATGCTGGGCATGGTGGCACATGCCTGTAATCCCAGCAATCAGGAGGCTGAGGCAGGAGGATCATTGCGAGTTTGAGGCCAGTCTGGGCTACAAAATGAGCTCAAGGCCAGCCTGAACTGCATAGTGAAACCCTGTCTCAAAAAAAAAGAAAAAAAAACTGCAGATACAGATGTGGATATGTCTCATGAAGAAAAATTGAACATGGAAGGAGACAGGGATGCTGGGAGGTGGTTACGTGGATTTTCAAAAGGATTTAAAAGGTTTAAGTGACATTAAACCAACACTTTATGTGGCAATAAAGCAGTTAGGAAGAAAGCATCTCATCAGCAGGAGAAGCAAGCACAAAGACCCTGAGGCAGAACTGTGTGTGGGTCACTGTATGCAAAGCAAACACCAAGGGTGGCCCAGTACCATGAGGGAGGGATCAAAGTACTGCAGGCCAGAGGGAAAGCGGAGGGCAGATCATGTACATGTCAGGGAAAGACCTTGATTTTTACTCCAAGAGCAATGACAAGTCACCAAAAAGCTGTGGGCACACTGATCTTGCACAACTACATTCCTACACATGGAAGGATTTACATACAGTACAGGAGCCCTGAGAACAGATCAGCAGGGTATCATCAAGTCCAGGTGTTAGAGTGGGTCCGATGAGTGAAATCTAAGATCTGAAGGTAGAGAAGCTACAGCTAAAGGAAAGAGCATACGTGCAACCTCTGAAACCAGAGGAAACACCACACCTTAGAAGAACTACGGCAAGTCAATGCAGCCAGAGTGTGGGCAGGTCCGTTTAGTGGTCCAAAAGTGCACGATGGACTTAAAAAGACAGGCCAAACAGTCTCCATCAAGTAGAGCCTTGTAGGGCACGTTAACAACTGGACTGTTCTCTGAACTCGAAAGAACTGATTTCTTTCACACAGGAATTATATTTCATCCCGAATGCAATGGGGATCCTCTGGAAGGAAATGCTGACCACCTGGGAGACTCATTTAGGATGCTATTCCTGCAGCCAACGCAGGCTGACAGATCTGGGCTACGCAACCCAGCCAGAGTTGACTGGTGGCAGACTAGATACGCAGCAGAGAAAGGTGCTAGGATATTTCCTAGATCTTCAAGTTCCACAAATGGAAAGTCAAAGATGGAACATCAGAAGAGATAAAGTTTTACCGGGGAAGAAAATGAGTTTGGCTTGAGACAAATGCAGTTTGAACATTTCCCATCTACTAAAGCAAACACCCGCCTCTTCTCTCATCAAGTCTATGTAGTTTTGTACGCAAGCAGTCTAGAGTAACACTGAAATCTACGTAAAGCTTTCCTATTCTCTGTTCTCCATGGTAAGTACTGAGTTTCCGCCATCTTACAAGTACTTACAGGTTGGGATAAAATGAACGCATAACACTGTTAAGATTTCTTATACATTCTCACAAAGGTATGGGCATCACAGCCCTCGATTCACACACGCTGACAACTGGGTCTCAGGTGAAAGTTCTCGCTCAGTATCACTCAAGCGATGAGCAGAAGCAGCAGGACAGACACTCAGCATCCCAGGTTTCTACCACTGGAGCACACTGCTTCCTGCAGTGCATTCTTGATAACCATTAACTGTTAAGAATCCTACACTTTTCACACACATACATGTAAAAAAAAAGGAATCCTAGGTCATCATCTATGAGACAAGAGAAAATACACAGAAGCAGCTCTTTCTAAAAGAAAACTATACAAAACTAGCTATAATAAGATTTGAATTAAAAGTTAAACTTTTTCTAAAAAATTCTAACCCTGGGGCATGGTGGTACACACATGCAATTCCACAACTCTGGAAGGCTGAGACAGAAGGACTGCAAATTCAAGTACCACCTGGGAAACCTGTCTGAAAATTTCAAAAAAAAAAAAGGGCTGGGGATGTAGCTCGGTGATAGAGCATCCCTAGGTTTGATCCTCAGTATCAAAAAGCTTAACCTTCTGAGGCAAAAGTCAAAGAATTAATATTAAATTCCAGGGATATAAAGTAAATACTACATAGAGGTTCTGTTCAATTCATATTTATGGAGAAGCAGAAAAGTGGACTGATAACTAGACCTACATCCTACTACTGGTTGTGTCACCAGCTCTGTGAGAGGGGACAAACTACGAAGACGCTCAAACTTCCCTATTTCCTCAATTATAAAATCAGGGAGATGAAATTATCCTAACTAACAAAATACTATATCTGGGTTACTTCTCCATACAGCATTGTTTCGCAAGATTGGTACATGAATGAATTTTTAAAACTTAGTCATTTATAAATGCTCCAGTGGCAAACTCATTTTTATACAAATCATATAAGCAAATATTTGTAATCATTCAAAACGACAATATTTTCTACTTCTGGATGGTTTTATATTAGTTTTAGTTATAGAATGACAGGCCTGTCTTCATCACTGTTCATTCCAAGTTGGAAAATCTCAGCATTTCAAAGTATGAGAGAAGCACCTTCCTTATCCCTACGAATCTTAAGCCTTATGAGGGCCAGAGGTGGAGCTGTCCCTTTCATGCTCTTCCAATTGGGTGACACTCGACCCGTCTATTTACAGCAAGTTCACTAATCTGATTAGTGTCTGAACACCTGGTTGAAGCTGCTTTTGTTTTTGAAATCCTTGACAAAAATGCTATATGGGTTACAAATTCCTAAGAGTATGTTTTCACCAGCCAAGAGAGTTATGCTTCCCCGAAGCTGAAACTTAATAAAGAAACAGGAAGTCAGAAATGAAAATACAATTTGGAAATATGGGGAAAGACTATTAAGCCAAAGGAAATGTGACTGAAGGAAAAATGACTTAAGATCTAAATGCCAGCTTCCAAATTTTTAACTGAAAAACTAGAGCTTGCTCTCATTTTCTCTGCTTTTTGAGGGAGATGGGATGGAAGCAAAGTAGAGAAAAATTTAAAAGCCCAGGACATTAACCGGAAAAGTTATCAGCTTATAAAAAATGCCACTGATTTTCTTCACTATTGGTTTTACTTGATAAAAATTTTGCTTAGTGAAGAGCTTTGCCCTGTATAATCAAAGACATATTTCTCAACTCTAGTATTTTTGGTACTGCAGTTGGATTTCAACTTATAATTGATATTCCACATTGAAACAGCAATAAAAGTCTGGAAAGTTAAATGCTTACCTTCCCCATCAAATGTTCCTTGTCCTTTCAGCATTTTTTTCTAAGAGACAAGAAAAGCAAAAAGAGGAAAAACCAAAGCAAACTATGTGTGAATGAGCCAAACAGAAAACACAGCTATTATAAGTCAAAGTACTTTTTGTTGTTACATTCATTAGATTTCCAAAAGCACACAGCAGATGATCCCTAGAGCAGTGCGGTCATACCACCACTTTATACAAGTCCCTGAAACCGAAATAAAATGTACTATGTCCCCCACACTCCATCAAAAAGGAATTCTCAGATGAGCAGCAGCTCAGCTCATTTTATGACTTGTGATTCATCATCACTGTTAAACTGAACTTCGCTATACTGAGTTCAGAAAAAAAGTTAAAATATTATGTAATGTCTTTTCTTGAAGACCAGAGGCTCTAAAATAAAACAAGCTTGTTCGTGTATTACATACATATGCGACATTTATATCCACTGGTTCCAGTTCTCTGATTAATCAAGAAAAAATGTGACTGCCGAAGGAATCTTTGCCCTCTTGCTGAGATCTGTCTTGTTTCTGGGGAAGGCAGCACGTACTCTAAAGTATCCCTTCCTAGCGTTCCCCACTTGGGTATGTCTTGACACTGTCTTAGCAAATGCCATTCTGAGCCCTTTTGTGAGTAAATAATGCCACCCTATCCTATGGTTTTGTGCTACCAATTTATTAAATACATCAAGTGGGAACAAAAGACAATCAAAGGCCATAGTGACAAAAACAAGCAACAAAAAAATTATATTAATCAGTGTCCATGATTCTGGTGAATGATTTTAAAATTTACATTTTATGTGAATGACATCAAGTGTGTGATCACCATTCAAAAAACAATGAATCAAAAGGGAAGCGGTTTTTTTTCTGTATCAGCTGTGATGAAGCTACCACGGACACCTCTCCATAAGCACCTGTTGACTTGGCCAAGAGTCAAGAGTGCACATCTAGGCGCGCTCCTCACCTCCTCTCAGCTCCCTGTATTAAAAGTGCCCAGGACTTTCCAGCCAATACTTAATTTGCAAAACTTTTTGTGTTTCCTTGTACTCCAAATTTTGCCAGAGCTTTAAAGTTTGAAGTGATACGAGTTTCACTTCTATCCCTAAAGTTGCATTAACCTTAGCGGAGCCTGCCAGCCATGGAATGGCCATGCACAGCCGCGCCAGGTATCAACCATAGAAACAGACGTAAAAGTGAGTAACTACTTCTGGTTTTCTCTATGTAGCTCCTCCCCTCCCCCAACACATTCATTCACTTTTTCCTTAATGAACGGGGGAGTCCTGCCCACTCCTACCTTTATTCTTCCCAAGCTGGAAAACTTTTCCTTGTCTTCCATCACGGCTTTCAGGACAGGCTGGGACATCCTGTTCTTCTGCTTTGAGCTGTTCGTGCTGTCAAAATCAAAGCCACTGACTACGGCCCTGCGGTAGGATGTGGACCGCAAGCCTCGCCGCAGAGACCCCGGGCTATCCACGTCATTGTCCACGTCCCTCTCTTCCCCTGCCTGACCCAGCGGTGCTCCGAAGCCCTCTACCATGCTGCGCACCTTGAGGAGTCTCTTGTGGGGCTCCACATTCTGACTGTTCGACTTACTTAATTTAATTTCTGAGGCGAGGCTCTTCGGAATGATCTGCTGCTTCCCCACTTTGAGGGCAGCAGGGCTGTTTGTACTCAAAACCACATTAGGAGTTTCGGGGAGCTCGTTCTCCTGTGAGGGCAGCCTTTGGAGGGGGGAGTTTTGCTCGGAAGACCGTTTCTGGGTCGCACTGGAGAGCCCCGAGGGCCCCCGCTCTGGGTCCTGAGCCGCCGGCGCAGACTGAGAACGGGAGGCAGAGGAATGGTTTTTAGGAGCGAGGCCGTTGATAGTGGGCGAAGGCACCCGGCTGGCGGTCACCCCGGCGGGGTCCTCGGGGCTGCAGGGCGCGGAAACCGCAGGAGTCCGCGGGGTGCGCGGCGGCAGCGGCGGGGCAGACGAGGTCGCCACGCCATTGGCCGAGGACTTGGGGGAGCCTCCCGAGGCCGCTGTGGGGACTTGCGGCGACTTGGACCGTCGGGGGCGAGGAGAAGCAGCTCTGTACTCCGGGGAGATCGTCCGCCCGTTCGTCACCGTCCCCCGGCGGGCGCAAAGCGGGAGGGGGCTCCTCGGCACCGTCCTGCCGCCCGACGCGGCGGGCAGCTGCGCGGGCGTCTGCGCCGCGGGAAGCGCGCCCAGGTCCTCCACCGGGAAGTCTGTGATCAGCAGCCCGCTGGGACTCTGGTAGGACTGGGGCCTCGGCTTGCTCCGGCCCAGCAGCTGGGGCTCGGGGGTCGACCGCCTCCGCCATAAAGGGGCTAACCGGTTGCTAGAAAAATCCACTTCGCTCTCGCCGTCCATAGCGGGGCCTCGGGCCAGCCCCTAGGTCGGACCCCGCCAATCTCGCCCAGGAGGAAGAAGCGCGGAGCCCTTCTCCGAGCCCCCGCGCACGGCGAGCAGCCGCGCCAGCTGCGAGCCCGCGGGCAGCGCGGTTGCGCGGGACGCCACGGAGCGCCACTCACCCGCCCCTTCCCGGCGAGAAACTGCGCCCCGCGC